GCTCAATTCCCAGCATCCCATATGGTCCCGACCACCACCAGGAGTAATTTCTGAGTGCATGAGCCAGGAGTAACCACTGTGCATCGCTGGGTGTGACCCAAAAGCAAAAAAAAAATGGAATTTTCATCTAAATAGTTCAAGTATCTGTTGTGACATAGCTTTTTTTTTCTGATTTTGGAAACATGGCTTGAAGTCTCAGACCTTCATCTGATAAAGGGAGATAAGGCCTGTCAGTCTCCTGCTATCCCTGCATTCGCCCTCTTGTTTCCTGCTATTGTTTTGAGGGGATGACAGCGGTTCTAGTGTGTGGTTGTGATGCTCACACACTTGATCATGATCCTTGCCAGGTGCTACATACTGTTGTGGTGCACAAACACAAGTGGCTGTGGTATGCTGGATATAGCACATTTGGGGGCAGCACCAGACGTCGCAGACAGCAGATGCTGGAAACTCCCTGCACATGTGGGTGGCATGAGGGATCAAACCCACAACTTCATGCTTGCAAAGCAGGTGCTTTTAGCTACTGAGCCATCTCTGAAGCTCCATCTCAAGATTATCAAGGATTTTTGATAGCACAGCAGTAGGTCATTTGCCTTGCACGTAGCCAGCCTGGCCGAGCCGGGTTCGATTCCTCGCCCCTCTTGGAGAGCCCGGCAAGCTACCGAGAGTTTCTTGCCCGCATGGCAAAGCCTGGCAAGCTACCCGTGACGTATTCAATATGCCAAACACAGTAACAATAAGTCTCAAAATGGAGACACTACTGGGCCCTCTTGAGCAAATCGATGAACAACGGGAGGACAGTGTTTGTTTTGTTTGTGTATAGTACCTAGAAAATGTTTAGCTCTTTTTTATTTTCACATTGTGATTTTATTTTTTAATTTAAAATAAATTTTAATTTTATAAAGTAGTTCGCAATATTTCATTCCATTTAATATTCAAACACCAATTCCGCCACCATTACACCTTCCCACCACCATATTTCAGATGTTTCCATCCCAAAACCCAGTTCCTGCCCCAAAACAGAGCTGAAATAATAGATTTTGTATTGTTAGTTATGAAAAACCGCTGAAAATGCTACAAAAAAGGAAAATGCTTAGCTCTTGAAAAAAGTGATTACTATCAACTTTTGGGCAATGCTGGAGGCTTACCCCAGAGTCTCATGCATGCAAGGCAAGTGTTGCACCTCTGCACGGCATCCTTGGTCCAGTATCCTTCTTTCAGCTTTGAATTCTTTGTTCCTAAAAGGTGACACCTCTTATCACATTTTCTTTGATCCTTTTTTTCATTTGATGTGCTTTGTAATTATTTGTTATTAAGAAATGCTGCACTACAGAGTCTGGCAAGCTCCCCGTGTCATATTCGTAACAATAATGGGTCTCATTTCTCTGACACCAAAAGAGCTTCCAATGCAGCACCATTGGGAAGGACGAGTAAAGAGAGACTGCTAAAGCACTGTTCATAATAGCCAAAATCTGGAAACAACCCAAGTGCTCTAGAACAGATGACTGGTTAAGAAAACTTTGGTACATCTACACAATGAATACTATGCAGCTGTCAGGAGAGATGAAGTCATGAACTTTGCTAATAAATAGATAGACATGGAGAGTATCATGCTAAGTGAAATGAGTCAGAAAGAGAGGGACAGACATAGAAGGACTGCACTCATTTGTGGAGTATAAAACAACATAACATGAGGCTGACACCTAAGGATAGTAGATACACGGGACAGATAGATTGCTCCATAGCTGGAAGGCTGCCTCATGAGCAAAGGGGAGAAGGCAGCTGGAATAGAGAAGGGATCACTAGGAAAAAGATGGCTGGAGGAATCGGTCGGGATGGGAGATGTGTGCAGAAAGTAGATAAAGGACCAAATATGATGACCTCTCAGGGTCTGTATTGCAAGCCATAATGCCCAAAAGTAGAGAGAGAGAGATTATGGGGAATCATGTCTGCCATGGAGGGCAGGGGGAGGGTGGGAAAGGGGGGATATGCCGGGGATATTGGTGGTGGGGAATGTGCATTGGTGGAGGGATGGGTGTTTGATCATTGTGTGATTGTAACCCAAACATGAAAGCTTATGACTTATCTCACGGTGACTCAATAAAATTAAAGAGAGAGAGAGAGAGAGAGAGAGAGAGAGAGAGAGAGAGAGAGAGGCTGCTAAAATCTCAGGGCTAGGACGAATGGAGACGGTACTGGTGCCCGCTCAAGCAAATTGGTGAACAACGGAATGACAGTGATACAGTGATACAGTGATTAAGAAATGGTTTATACAAAATTTTTTGCTTATTTTGGTTTGGGGTTCATACCCAGCTGCGCTTGGGGCTTATTCCTGAGCACAGCTCTGTACTCAGGGATCACTCCTGGTGGAAGCAGGGGGACCATATGGGTGCCAGAGATTAAACCGAGGTTAGCTGCAATGCAAGGCAAGTGCTCTACTGACTGTACTATTTCTCCATCCCATAAAATTAAATAAGAAATTATAGTTCAGGGCCAGAGATACAGTACAAAGGCCAAGGTATTTTCCTACCATTGGCTGTGGCCATGACCCTGGTTCAAATCCATGTATTTCATATGGTTCCCAAAACACTTCCTGGCATGGTTCCTGAGCACTGCTGGGTGTGATCTGAAATCCAGAAAATACAAAGATGATATAATTCATATACCCATGTAGTTCTTAGGAATTGGGGAAAGAGTGAGAAACAGATGAATAGACACTTATAAATGCAATCCAAAGATAAAGATGGTGGAGAGTGCTCTGAAGAGTGGTTAGGGAAGGCTCCCTGGAGGAGCTGCTGTCTAGGAATCTAAGGGTCAGTGGCCAGAGAGAGAGTATAGTGGGCAGAGCATTTGCCTTGCATGCAGCTGACCTGGGTTCAATCCCTGGCACCCATATGATCCCCCAAGTTCCACCAGGAGTGATTCCTGAGTGTAAACCCAGGATTAAGCCCTGTGCATAGCTGGGTGTGGCCTGAAAAAAAAAAGAAAAAAGAATCTGAGGGTCAGAGGTGAGAGAACAGTAGGTACAGGAATCATAAGCAATCCTGTAAGACCAGCATCTAGGATGATGCACGTCAACCAGTCTTCAGGGCAGGAAGGAACTGCTGGGGAGGAACCCTTGTAGATCAAGCTGAGAACTGGACCTTAAACACACAGGACAAAGGGTAAAGTTTCTGAAAGATTTTATAGGAGTCAGCTTTGCCCAAGTCAGATTTATATTTCCCATTGCTCACTGGGACAGAGAGAAGTGAACCGAAGGGGCTGAAATCAAAAGAGACCATCAGAAAAATCTTAGGAGATACAGCTTTTTTTATAGTTTTTTTTTAATTTTTGGGTCACACCTGGCAATGCACAAGGGTTGCTCCTGGCTCTGCACTCAGGAGTTACTCCTGGCGGTGCTCAGGGGATACTGGGAATCGAACCCAGGTCGTGCAAGGCAAACACCCTACCCCCTGTGCTATCTCTCCAGCCCCAGGAGATACAGCTTTATTAGAGAGGTGGAGAGGGGTGCCAACAGCCAGCAGCACGGTGCCCAGTAAACTTAATTTGTTGAAAGGATAGGTATACAGACATGCACACGCACGAAAGAATGAATAAAAAAGGATGGTTGACAGTATGAACCTCCGTAGATTGAGGTGCTGTATATGAGAGTGGGGGGTGGGGTGGGGGATAAAAGATATATTTGAAGCCGCAGATTACGTGTGAAGTAGCGACTTGGAAGACAGCACTCAGGCAGGGGTCTCTAGGATGAGGGAGACAGTCACAGCTTCTCAAGTGGGGAACATTCTGCACAGGGACTCAACCAGGAAAACAGCCTCGCACAGCTCCAGAGCTGCGTTCTGGCGGCAGGGGGCGCCCTCGGACCGGGGGAGCCAGCGGCTGCCAGGACGCACCCGCATCTCCCAGAGCGTGCCCAGGAGAACCATCCTTGGTCCAGGGCGCGCGGGCTGGTGCCTCGGACTGCGGACTGGGGCCGAGCCTGGCCTTCAGCTCCCCAGCCCCGGCCGTCTCTCAAGGCAGGTCCGCTCCGTTTTAGTCTGCCTGGGAGCCCAGATCGAGAGGCCAGATTTGTTCTCGCGGCGTGGCGTTGCCTCCCGCATCAGCTTCGCCCCGGGAGACGCCCGGGAACCGGGAGTCGGGGGGCCTGGATCGCAGCGGGTGGTCACAGCGGGTCGCGAACACCACGAAGACCAACCCGGGGGGAGGTCCCGCGGGGAGCCACGGAGAACGGAACCGGGAGAGGGGCCGGGGGGGTCAGAGCCGGGTCCAGAGGAGTCTCAAACTCCCATCCTCCCAGATCGGGGCCGGTGAATTACTGGAGAAGCAGGGACCGGGGCCCCTTCTCCCGCCTGGGGGCCCGAAGGGAGGACACGCAAAGCGCGAGCTTGCCCGGATGGCAGCGCTGCGCGGGGAGAAGGCAACGAAGGCGGCGGGAACGGAACCACCCAGGGAGCCCGAGAACCCGGGGGGCTCGCGCCCAGGGCAGAGGGCAAGCGGGGATCGCGCGGCCCGCCCGGGGCACAGCTGGGCAGGGACGGCTGCGCAGGCCGAGCCGCGGCTGCGACTCCCCCGTGAGGCGGCGGGCAGTGCCCGGGGGGCGCCGGTCTCGGGCGGCGGAGCCCCGGCACTGCCCGAGGCTGCCCCGGTCCCCCCCCAACTCTCTTGTTTGTCTCCCCAGTCCGGCCGGAACCGGCTTCTGCTCGCCGCGGGGCGGGCGGGCGGGCGTGGATTGGCCGACGCCTGTTTCCAGCCCCGCTCAGCCAATCAGCGCGCGGCAGTGTTTTCATCTCGGGGTCGAAATAAAAGGGCTGGAATTAAAGGGGGCCGCGACGGCGCCGGCCGGGCCGACACGCAGCAGCAGCAGCGGCAGCAGCAGCAGCAGCCGCCGCCGGGTGAGTGGGGGGGGGGGGTGGCGTCGCGGGTTGCGGCGAGATGCGTGGGCCGGGGCGGGAAAGGGACGGGATGGATGGGGTGGGGGGTCCTCAGGGCGAAGAGGACGGCTCGAGGCGGGCGCTGGGAGGTGGCGGGAGCGGGAAGGCTGCCACGGAGACGGGCTGACTGCTGAGGTAATGGCCCTGCCTGGGGGGTCACTCGGTGGCCCGCGCCGCCGGTTTGAACCGGCTTCGCCTCTCCCATGCGGGGTTCGCGTGGCCGCAGCGCCTAGCGACCTGCGCGGCGGCCAATGGGGCCGCAGTTCCTGCGCGTCCAGGCCAATGAGCGGGCCGTGGGCGGGCCGTGCCGGGGCTCGGGGCGCGGGGCCGGCGGTGGAAGCCACCTGCGCCGGGGTGCGGTGGGAGGTGGGGGCGCGCGCCTGTCGGTCGGGGTCCCGAGCGGTGACAGGCCCCCGCAGGTATTGCCGCATCCCGCCCGGCGTCGCGGACGCGGGCTGCCCGCCTCCCGAGCCGGGACCTCCGGCCCCGCGTCCCCCAGGACCTGCCTAGTGACCCGTTCTGCTCGCGTGCCTCAGTTTACCTCTGCATCGGCTCGGGGAAAAGGCTCCCGCCTGGCCGCGGCCGCTGCCCGCGCGGGGGGTGGAGCGGGCCGGCCGGGTCCGAGGCCGGGCTGAGGCTTCTGCCCCCGGCTGCGCGCGCGCTGCTGCTGCGGCGGCGACGGCGGCCGGGCTGACGTCTCCCTCGCCCTGTGCGCAGGTGGCTGCAGAGCAGGAGCCAGAGCCGGGCCACCGCCTCGCGCCCCGCCATGGCGCCCACCCTGGCCACTGCCCATCGGCGCCGCTGGTGGATGGCCTGCACGGCCGTGGTGGAAAACCTCCTCTTCTCAGCGGTCCTCCTGGGCTGGGGCTCGCTGCTGATCATGCTCAAGTCAGAGGGCTTTTACTCCTACCTGTGTACCGAGCCAGGTGAGACCCGGGCGCCTGGGACTCTTGGGACTCGCGGTGGGGCTGGGAGAGGGTGCGATGGCTCGAGAGACCAGCCAACTGTACCACCTCGCGGTGCCGCGGGACCCCCCACAACCAGATGCGCCTCACCAGGAGGCCTCCCAGCTCTGCAGTGGAGCCTAGCGCTGTTGCCTGTTTCATGGGTGAGGAAACCGAGCCCCAGACAGACTAGACTTGCCCCGGAGCCACAGAACTGGGGCTGTGCCTGACCAGAAACCCCAAGCCTAGGGTGTTCTTTCCACTGCCCAGGAACGTTGCCGAACTCCTCCCAGCGCCTGGCACATCCCTTGCTTTGCAGTAAACATGCTGCTGCCTGGCACATCCTTTGCCTGCAGTAAACATGCTGTAAGAAAGAGGAACTCCGGAGTGAGTGACTTGGTCTCCACCCTGCAGACCGTTCATCTAGATGTTTTTCAGTGAGGCTGTTGCGGGCCTCTTCCGGACCTGTCGGAGACAATTTGTCTAGTTTTGCTGCTTTATGATTTTCCTCTCGCAGGCTGTGGGGGCCTCTCAGTGGCTCTCAGGCTGGGGGGTGGGGAGCGGCCCTGAGGACCTTGATGGGAATGCTTGAGCTAGTCGGTTGCTTAGTGCAGAGGTGGGCCCGCACCCTCTCTGTTTGAGAAGCCTAATCTTAACTGCTGCATCCCAAAACTCGTACTGCTGCTCAGCCCGAAAACCCATTAACGACCCAACCTCTGCACCTTTGTCAGCCAGCACCCCCACCCGCTCCTGATGGTGGAGGTTGCCTGAGTTTGCCGTCTTGAAGCATCACCATGGACTTTCTTCCTAAAATTCTTTGGGGGAAGAGAAAGCCGCGGACCCGCCCAGGCTGCCTGTAACCCCATTTAGTCTCCTCCCTGTGGCCCTGCTCTACTCGTCCCCGGAGATTTCCTGGGTGCTTAGGCCTGGCAGACAGCCTTGTGGGGGAGGTGAAGGGACAGAGAAAGGAGCGCACGTGGAGAGGGCACAGAGCATATCATTTATAGCCTTTAGCCTTTAGCCTCTCAGAAATGCTTCCTAATAGACTCTCAGGTCGTTGGCAGCCCTTTCCCCACATCAGCAAGAAATCTTGGGAGAGGAGAACATCCCTCAGACCTTGTTCCCTGAATGAGTTTTTCTCTGCCCCGCAGATGTTAGGAGATTAATGACTCTGGAAGGAGCAGGCTGAGTTTGACTACATCCCTCCAGCCCTCTCTCTCTCCTCTACATTTCTTTTTTGTTGGGGGGTGTGGAACACCCAGCAGTGCTGAGGGCTTATTTCTGTCTCTCCACTCAGGGTTCTCTCCTGGCTGGTTCCAGGGACCATATGGAATGCTGGGGATCGAACCTGGCTTGGCCACTGTGTGCAAGGCAAACACCTTCTCCAATACTGTCATTCAAGCCCCACCTCCCGTGTGCATCTTGACCCTTCCTACTTGTCTCCCAAGGGGCTCTTTCAAGCTACAGAGGGTTTACAAACAGAGGGTTTACAAATAAAAAGGAGTATCCTCCCCAAAGGAAGCTTTTAATATCATGACCAGTCTGGAGGACTATCGTACTATTGCAGACTGATTTCTTTGTGTGTTGCGTGGGACCCCCACAGTGGCTTTGAAGACCAGCTTCCCAAGATGTGCTCTCAGATTGTCCACTGGTTTAATTTCCTTTCTAGTATTGGCAGGATTGGGGCTGGTCACTTTGGTGCTGCTTCAGCCTTGGCGTCTCCCCTCTTGTAAGTGGGAGGAGTCCCAGAAATTGTGCCAACACAGTGCTGAGCTGGTCTTTAATTCCTTGAGAGACTTGCCAGTCCTTCCCATAAACCAAAGTGAAGGTGAAAGGTCAGGATTGTGGGTTGAATATCAACTTCTTATCACATGCCTTTGCTCCTGCCTCTGATTTTGGTTTTTCTGCCTATCTGTCAAACCCGCTGAGCCAGCACCATTCTCTTGAGGGCTGCTGATTCCATGCATCTTATCTCTCGGGCCACTCTGCTCCTTGCTTCTTGGAGTCTGCGTAACCTGTTGCCTTTCGGGTCCAGAAACCCTGGAGTTTTGTCTCACTGGGTGTGTGAGGAGGATTTTACGGTCAGGGTTCTTCTTAACCCTCACGTTTTCAAGCTTGGTGAACAGCTGAATTGTAGAGAAGCAGTTGGGAAGCGGCTTATGAAGCGGATTGAATCAGAGTTGAGAAGCTGAGCAGTTTACAGCTGATTGGGACGCGAACATGTCAGCTTTTTTTGTTGTTGTTGCTTTAAGGACTGATGCTTTGGTTTGTCCTCTAAAGGAAATTTGCCTGAACCTGTTGAAAGGTTCTCAGAACTCTTTTCTTGGGACTCCAGCCAGGAGCTGGCCACAGCTACAGTTTCGTGTTCCAGTGTGATGAGGTGGGAGCAGGAAAGAATAGCCTGTCTCTCCATGGCCCCTCAGTGGATTATGCCCGGTGTGCTGGATAGTCAGGATTGGTGACTGGGACTGGGGAACTGCACATTTGGGCTTCACCCTCCCACCCCACCCCACCCCCCCCAGTCTGATGACAGGAAGGTCAACTGGGTTCCTAGCCGGGGAGGAGTAGGGGCTTTTCTGGTACTCTGTCCTTTTGGCCTCTGGGTGGCCGGTGTCACACCCACTTCTGACCTCTTTCTTAATTCTCTCTGTCATCCAGTGGCCTAATTGGGCAGGTTCTGCTTAGGGGCGGGGGTTCCCTGTAGCTCTTGCATCTCTTCTTTGATCTCCCGCGTTCAATAAACGTGCAGGCGCCTTCGTCTACAGTTTGCGGGCACCCAGACCAGTGATCCCCTACAGTTCTGTCTAATTTCAGGAGGAGGTGGCCAGGGACTCAGCGGAGAGCAGGGTGCCGGGAACGAGAGAGATAACAGTGGGGACCTGGCACAACCTGGGCGGGTAGGTGGGCCTCTCTGCTCTTGAGGTAGAAGTGTAGCAGCAGTTTGGGGCCATATAGTCTATGGCCGTATAGAGCAATATAGTATAGTGCGTAGGGTATTTGCCTTGCATGCAGCTGACTCAGGTCTGAACTCCGGCATCCCATATGGTCTCCCAAGCAACACCAGGAGTGACTCCTGAGTGTAGAGCCAGGAGTAACCCCTGAGTATCGCCGGGTGTGATCTCAAAATAAAACAACAACAACAAAAAAGAAGTGTAGTGGGGATAGGTCAGGGACATTGTGGGGAGGAAAGAAGGGCTGGGCAGGGCAGGAGATGAGGGGCCAGGCAGGAAGGGGCCTGTGCCTCATAGAGACGATTTTATTCTTGAGGCAGGAAGAAGTGATGGAATCAGAGGACAGTAGTGCTGAGCGGGCAGGCAAGGCATGGCGCAGGGTGAGATTCTGTGGGTAGGAGGGTGGCCCCAACCTAGGGAAGTCACAGCCAGCCCCAGACACTGAGGCAGCCCGTGGTTCTGTGCTCTCAGATCACGTTACTCTGTGGTTGCTCTGCCTGTGGTGGGGACAAGAGTCGTGAGGGGAAGTTGGACCCTCCCCCCAATTCTGAAGCAAAGCCGGAAGCTGGGCCCTGAGTCCTGAGGGAGCAGAGAGAGAACTGAGGCCACAGGGCCAGGCCCAGTTGCTGCTGTGTGGGGAAAAGGGCCCAGGTGAGGGCAGGATGATCCCTGTTGCCAGGACCTTCCCTTTTTTGATGATCTCCCACATGCAAAGGTTAGTCATCGGCAGCTTCTGAAAACCCACCTTTCACTTTTATTGCTGTGATTATGAGTTTTTATTCCCTCTGCCCTGGTTTATTTGAGATTTAATAGGAAATAGAAGGGAGCTGGAGCCATCGTACAGGTAGGGAGGGCATTTGCTTGGCATGCAGCTGGCCCAGCTTTGATCCCTAAGACCACATAAGGTGCCTCACGCGTCCCTCTAGGAGTGATCCCTGAGCTTACAGCCAGGGGTAAACCCTGAGCACTGCCAGGTGTGGCCAAAAACAAGCAAAAAGAAAATACTGTTGGAAAGGAATCTTTTTTGGGGTGTCGGGGTGGAGGTAAAAGGGGAGTATGTGGTGCTGGTGATGAAATCCAGGGTTTCCCACTGTGACGCATCTGCTCAACTCACTGAGTCATGTGGTCCTGGGGAAGGGGGTCTGAGAGCTAGTGCCCACAGCCTCAGGAAGTATCGCGGGGAGAGCTGGCTCCGTCTCCCTACCCACCTGCCCTGCCCTTCCTCCTTCCCAGCTCATGGCCTGACTTCCTGCCTCAGATCCACTGTTCCCACCTGGGTCTTGGTGGCCCATTAAGAAATACGATAGTGGGCTGGAGTGATAGCACAGCGGGTGTGGCATTTGGCTTGCACATGGCCGAACCGGGTTTGATTCCCAGCGTCCCATACGGTCCCCCGAGCACTGCCAAGAGTAATTCCTGAGTAGCATGAGCCAGGATAACCCCTGTGCATCACCGGGTGTGACCCAAAAAGAAGAAAAAAAGGGAAAGAAAAGAAATACGATAGTGGGTAGAGCACTTGCCTTGCATGCAGCCAACCTGGGTTGGCTCTCAGCACTCTACAGAGTCTCCCAAACCCCACCAGGAGTGATCTCTGAGTGCGGAGGAGGAATAAGTCTTGAGCACTGCCGACTGTGGCCCCCAAACCAAACCAAAACAAACAAACCCCAAGTAAATAGGATTCCATTCAGATTAGATTGGCTTTCCGGATCTCACTTGAGGGTTTGGGGCAATTCCATCTCACTAGAGGACAGTAAGGGCCACCAAGTGTTGCCCTTGACACTGTGACAACCAGTCTTGATGTTTTCTCTCTGAAATGCTACTGGAGTGATAGGACAGCTGGTGAGGTGTTTGTCTCGCAGGGAGCTGAGTACAGACCCAGGAGTTAGCCAAGAGCATAGCCGGATGTGGCCCCCAAACTGAAGGATAAAAAGGAAAAGAATGAAATACCTTTCTCCAGGTAATAAAGGTCAGCGCAGCCTGAAGGCGGAAAGCAGGAACCTCGGGGCCCAGACAGCCTGGATTCAGGTTCACCTGAGCCCTGGGCCATCTCTCAGACCTTGACCCAGCAGCTCACCTGCTCTGACAGTGCTGCGGTGGAGGCCTGGGAGGGGGCAGGGTGCGGAGGGACCAAGGGACTGACCGCAGGGTGGGCAGGCCAGCCTACCTAGGCCTGCCCTGGGAGCGCCTGTGTCCCGCCTCCTGTTTGCTCTTCTCCGCACTGACCTCTTACCTACATCCCCCCTGCTGGACCGAGATTCTGCTTCCTGTTGCCGGATAGACAAGGATTTGAGAGACAGGAGGTCCTGTTAGTTAGCAGGGAGGTCCAGGGGCAGGAGTCTGCTCAGGAATTTAGAGGGGCCTCCTGCCAGGTGCCCCTGTGCTTCCTCAAGCATCGGGACTCCGCTTCCCCCTGTTTCCCCAGGGAGGGAGGAGCCTCACTCTGACCCTGGGTGTCGAGCCTGAATGGGGTCACGGCACTCTTTTTCTCCTCCCGGTTTCCCGTCCAGACCTTGTGTTTGAGCCCTCTATGCACGGGCCCAACAGTGCAGCATTGTTCTCTCCCTTGCCCCAGGGTCTCCTCTGCAGCCTCTCGCCTGCTCCCGCCCTGGGGCCTCCCTAGCTCCTTGCTGGGCTTCAGCTTCCCCATCGGGCTGGACCTGGCCAGGCCACTCCAGCTGTCCACTGCGATGGCGTCTATTTCATAAACAGGTACAGGTGTGGTCCAGAGCAGACGGGCAGGGTGAGGTGGGGCCAGGGGCTCCCCCGGGCTTGACACTTCCTGGATGCTTCTCTGCTTATGTCTGTCTTGGCCCAGGGTGGCCCAGGTGGGGAGAGAGGGGAAGGGAGCCAGGGCGGGAGCGTCTGGGGCCCCGGCTGGTGGCAGGGTCACTGACACAGCTGTTTACCGCCAACAGAGCTCTGCCTCACAGAAGGTTCCAGTCCCTGGAGGGGAGCAGGACACTGACATTGCTCTCTGAGGTCACTCAGACCCCATGCTGAGCTTCATGCCCCGGACATCCCTGCCCGGAGGGGGGGGACGGTGTGGCAGGAATTTACACTGGTGTCCTCAGGGGAAGGCAGGCAGACAGGAGTCCTTCCCTCATCCTCCGCTCGGCGCCGATACCCCTCTCCTCATGAGCCCCCCGCCACCATCTAGCTTTAGGGGTGTTTGATCTGGAAACAGTGTGATGTCTGTGACTCTGAAACAGACCTTGCCCAGGGTTTTCCTTCTTCCTCTGGGTGAGCACAGTCAGTGATGTAGGGGCCCAGCTGAGGCTCTCTGAGAGTGGCCCCCACTGAGTGGAGGCCGCCAGAGCTGCCTCTCCTGGCCCTGCCCTCGCGCCTGTTGCTCCCGCCCGTGTGGACTGGCTGGTGCCATGTGGAGCCCCCAGCACCCGCTTCAGCCTGTGCCGGACCGTCGGGAGTAGCTGTGCCTTCCCAGGAGCTGCCCCACGGAGGAGGCGTCACTGCGGCCCCATTTGTCTTGTCCTTCGAATTGCAGCATGGTGGGGCTCCTTTGGAAATCAGTTTTTCAGAAGAGGGGGTGGGGGTGGGAGGTGTCGGACTTGTTGGGTTTTGTTTCAGTGGCCTCAGGACTTTAACCTGGCTATCCTTTCCTTCAACGGCCCCATCTTCAGGTTGGCTACCCGGCTTGGCTGCAGAAATCTTCTTTCCTTTCTTCTCACCACTCTTTGACCTTTGTGCTTTGAATCCTTTGCTGCAGTTCCTTTAGTAAACTGAGGGCACCTGGAAGTGCTGGTGCCGGTGACTAGGAACACAGTGCTGCCTATCAGGGTCCCCAATCCCATTGAGACAGGACATGAGTTCATGCCGTCATAGTTCTTAAAAAAAAAAAAAAACACCCCTGGGTACTACCTCCAGCTCTGCAGCTGTCCAGTGGCCCCAGTACCCCCATCCCCAGCCTCCAAGAGCAGGAATCATCATTGTAAAGTTCTAGCTACTTGTTATAGGTTCCTCCCTCCCTTCCTTCTTGTTTGTCTTTTCTTTTTTTTTTTTGGGGGGGGGGGGAATGCATGGGCTGTGGCAACACCCAGTAGTACTCAGAAGCTGTTCCTGCCACTGTGCTCAGGAGTTATCCCTAGCAGATCATATATGGTGCCAGAGATTCAGGTCTGGGTTAGGGTTAGCTGCGTGCGAGGCGAGCCGCCTAACCTTTGTACTGTCTCTTTGGGCCCCTATCCGTCACTTTCTATGCTTGTGTGAGCTCCAGAGTATTACCTGGATTTTCTCATTTATCTCCCAAAGCTCTAGGTAATAGGTCCTAGTCTGTTATGCCCATTTGACAGCTAAAGAAACTGAGCTGGAGTGAGATGAAGTCACTTCTTTAAGGTTCCCCAAAATAGGACGTAGAGGTGGGAAAGTTGCAACCCAGAGACCAGAGCCTGGCATCTTACTCTCATCAGTGTGCCGCCGTGGGGTTTGGTGATTAAAGGTTGGCCTGAGCATGATTCACCCCAAGGGCGTGCTTCTCTGTGACCTTGAGGCAGCCCTTTGCCAACCTCAGCTTGATGGTGTTGGCGCCACAAGGCTGCCCTGGGCAGGCGCAGGGCTATCTGCTGGGAGGTATTTCCCGCCTCTCGGGGGTGACCTCGCATCTAATCAGGCTTTCTTCAGGATTACTCAGCATCTTTTACGTAGCCAGCCCACGAGAAGACAGCTCCTTCGCAGCTGGGTGTCCCCCACCCTCTCACCCGCAGCTGCTACAGCACTTTGTCTTCCTGGGTGCTGGCTGGACTTTGGAGGGGCTGTTCAAGGCTGGGATTATAGCACAGGCGTGGCCACAGGGGACAGCCACATGCTGACCTGAGTGAGGAAAGGAAGAGCACTGCACCTCCCACAAGTGAAAGCAAATCACTTTGGGGCCAGAGAGGGAGTACAGGAGTTAAGGCACTTGCCTTGTACCGGGCCGACCCCAGCCTGATCCCCGACATCACTTGTGGTCCCTAAATCCTGCCAGGAGTGATCCCTGAGCACAGATTTAGGAGTATCCCCTGAGCACTGCCAGGTGTAACCCCCACCTTCCCCCACCCACCCATCCAAAGAAGAAAGTAAGGAATCACCAGTAAAACAAACAGGAGGGCCCAGAGCCGTAGTACAGGGGGTTAGGTGCTGGCCTCATGTGGCTGAAACAGGTCTGATTCTTGGCATCCCATATGATTCTCCAAGTCCCTCCAGGAATGAGCGCTGAGCACTGCTGGGTGTGGGCCAGAACCTTTTAAAAAAAGAGAGAAAAAAGCCAAGCAGGAATTCCCAGGGATAGTGTGTGTGGTGGGATCAGTGCGTTGGATGTGCCAGGGAGGAGGTAGCACAAGGACTATGGGGGACACCTAGCAGACTCTGAGGGAAGAAGGCCAGCTCTCCTGCCCTGCGCTGAGGCCCAAGCCTTGCAAGGTGGCGGCTGCTCACCTTCCCAGCTGGCCCTGTCTCTGCCTCCTGTCTGCTAGCTTCGATCTGTTTCCAGAAGGTTCTGACCAGCCAGGCCCCTGCAACAGGGGCTGCATCCCCATGCCTCTGTTCTAGGGTATCCCTCAGTGTAGACAGGAACTTCAACCTAGCTCTCGTGTGCTTCAGAATCATGGACAAGTCAGTGTATGTTTTTTTCTGGGGAGCAGGAATAGAGCTTTATCAGTTTCACGAAAGTCTCCATAATTCCCACAAAAGTTAAGAAGCTGGAGACCAGAGTGATAGCACAGCAGGTAGGGCATTTGCCTTGCACCCGGCTGACCCAGGTTTGATCCCCAGCATCCCGTATGGTCCCCAACTCATCACCAGGAGTAATTCCTGAGCATAGAGCTAGGAATAACCCTTGAGCATTGACGGGTGTGGCGTCCTTCCCTCTGAAAAAAGGGATAAGAAGCTTTGCACTATCACTCTCAGGGGCTTGGACCAGATTTCTGGGTCTACTGCGGGGTGAGGTGGGATCACCGGAGCCCTGCAGGGGCCGTGAGCCAGCTTGGCCTTTCTCTGTGGAAGCACTCAGATTGCACGCAGGCCTCCCTGCCAAGTCCCTGTGATCAGGTCTCCCTCCCTCTCCACAGAGAATGTCACCAACAGCTCAGAGGGGGGCACAGCGCTACCAGAGCTAGAGGAGGTGAGCTGGATAAATGGCTGGCTCAGCTGCCAGGCCCAGGACGAGATGCTGAACTTGGCTTTCACCGTGGGCTCCTTCCTGCTCAGTGCCATCACCCTGCCCCTGGGCATCGTCATGGACAAATACGGCCCCAGGAAGCTCCGGCTGCTGGGCAGGTCAGTACCGGGGTGGGGGTGTACAGGGGTACCCCTGGGATGAGCCCTCTACTCATTAGTGAATCCTGGGACCGGCTACTGGTGCGCTCAGAGTCCTAAAAACGCTGCCCCCTCCTGAGGCAGGGTTTCTGCCCCATCTGCTGCTAGACCAGCAGATACTGGGATCTTTGCACTGTGCCGAGACCATCTGCCTGGGATGGGCTGGAGTTGTTTGTGATTAAGAAAACTGGTTTTGTGGCCCAAGGAGATAGTACGGAGGTTAAGACATTTGTCTTGTGTGCGTCTGACCCCAGTTTGATCCCCAGCACCACCTAGTGCCTCTAACGCCACTGACTGGAAGTGACCTCTGAGCACTGTTGGGTGTGACCTCACTCATTTAAAAAAAAAAAAAGGACTGGAGAGATAATACAGTGAGTAGGACAGAACATTTGCCTTGCATGTTGCTGACCCAGGTTTGATCCCTGGCAACACGTCACGTATGGTGTTCCCTGAGCCCTGTGAGGGGTGATCCTTGAACACAGCTCCGTAAGTTCTGAGCATTGCTGGGTATAACCCAAAAAGAAAACAAAAAACAAACCAAAAGAAAAAACACAAACTGCCTTTCACAGACCTCACATATGTAAGAGCTGGGTTTGATCCCCAGCAGTACACATGTATACACACAAACACACACACACCCGGTTTTCAGGTGTAGGGTTTTTTTCCCTTTCCTTACCCCCTTTTTCTTTTTCTGGAATCCAGAACTTCATACATGTCAGACATGCACATCTCCACTCTACAAATCCCCTCACTGGTTTTCAGTGTTTTGGGCCTCCTAATTCCAGGAGAAAAAAAAATATTGATTTTAGACATATAACACCCAATGTCCAATATAAGCTCATGGAATTATCAATTATGTATACATTCCTGGGCTGGAGCAATAGCACAGCAGTAGGGCATTTGTCTTGCGCGCGGTTGGCCTGGCCAAGCCGGGTTCGATTCCCCTGCCCCTCTCAGAGAGCCTAGCAAGCTACCAAGAGTATCTCGCCCGCACGGCAAAGCCTGGCAAGCTCCCCGTGACGTATTCGATATGCTAAGCACAGTAACAATAAAGTCTCACAATGGAGACTTTACTAGGCCTGCTCGAGCAAATCGATGAACAACGGGACGACAGTGCTACAGTGCTACATACATTCTTAACATTTCATGTTAGGTTGCCCATATAAAACATCAAGTAAGGTGAGGGAGAATTACACAGTATAAGAATCCCAATCTTTTCCCTACCCCTACACCCGAGCAGATCACTTTATAGCTGCCTAATGATAAAGCTCCTCTGCCCAGCGTCACTGTGAGTGAGTTCCCTGGCAGCTTCCCTCTTAGCTCATGAGGGTCCACCACTCCCAGTCCTGTGGGGAGTGATCAGATGGAGGTTTGTTGTGGGATCTGTGAACAGGGAATGGGGCGGGGCTCCTGACCTCTGTGATCCAGAGACCTGCTTCTTAGGCCTTTGAGTGGAGGCATTCGGGAGCTGCCACTCATCTCCCTAATGCCAAGTAGTTATAGAAGTCTGGCAAATGGATTATGCCCTCCGGCCTCAGCACCCTGACCCTCTCCAGTCGGGGCCAAGGGGAGGTGCAGTACAGTGTAGTATTTACCAGATCTGGCTTCAGGGCCCAAATCCCAGCCAGACTGTCCAGGAGCTCAGAGACCTTGGTTAATTTAAGTTCATTCTTCATCAGACTTTTATTTTCTTAGCAGTCCAAGGGAGCCAATTATACGCCTTAGAATCATCGTTAAATGAAAGGAACTCATGTATGTAAATTTCCTGAAAGTTTTAGATGCCTAGTAAATACCCTCAGATGATAACAATATTAACAATAGCAAGAAATTATGTAATAAGAATCTCAAATAATATGCTATTCTGCTTATTTTTAGTGCCTGCTTTGCTGTCTCCTGCCTGATGATTGCCTATGGCGCCAGTAACCCGGACTGTGAGTATGCTTTTCCTCCGCCCTTTTGTTGGGGACTTGGGGAGGGGTGCCCAGGAAGTCGTCCGGGAAGCTCTGCAGCCCCAAGCTCACTGCTGGTTTGTGGAACACTGATTTGTTAGACCTTGCTCCAAGCACTGATCTCAGTTGGGTCACTGGTAAGAGACGGAGCCAGGTTCCAGGAACCAGTCCAACTACAGGGGTGCGTGTGGAAGCCGCATGCTGGTCCCCTCCACCTGTCCCAGCTAGCACTTTATTGGGAAAAGGGGCATGGTCCCCAGTGGCATTAAATGCCACCAGGAATATACCCAGTGGTGCTTGGAAGGCCATGTGGTACCATGGACTAAACCTGGGACCCTGTATGCCAGCCATTTGCTCCTGCCCTTTGAGCTGTCTCCTTGGCAGGCTCACACTTTTCTTTCCTTTCTCTCCTTTGTCTTTTCTTTTTTGTTTTTGGGCCACACCAGGCAATGCTCAGAGGTTATTCCTGGCTCCGCACTCAGGAATTACTCCAGTAATTACTCTGGTGCTCTGGGGACCATATGGGATGCCGGGGATTGAACCCCGTTGGCCACATGCAACACAAGCCTTACTCACAGTAGTATCACTCTGGTACCATCGTTTTATTTTTCCTTCCCCTACCCCTTCTTCTCTTCCTTTCCTTTTTCTTTGGGCCACCCATGGCAGTGCTCAGGGCTTACTCCTGGCTTTGCACTCAGGAATCACTCCTAGCAGACTCAGTGAACCTATGGGGATGAAACGTTTTATGCAGACACCAAAGTGTAAGACTCAAAACCTTAGCCAGGCTCATCTGTTGACTTGGGGGTACCTATAGTTAGAGTTTCAGTAAAGTCGCTTCTTTAGATCTCCCTTCCTGCTTGTGTTGGTGAAGAAAGAAGGGTGGGGTACATTTCTTCAAAGAACCGGAGTTCCATAAAATAAGAGGGGACAGAGAGGCTGTTCTGGGTCCCATGGGTGTGACACTAATCGATGGCTCATCCCTCATGCAACTGTTTGTTAGTAGTCTGCACCCCATGCGGCTCTAGCCTCCTCAGAGCTCTGCTCTGGCTCCCAACTTACGAGCTTCTTGTTTGCTTCCAGCCCTGTCTGTGCTCATCTTCATCGCCCTGTCTCTGAATGGCTTTGGTGGGATGTGCATGACTTTCACCTCACTGACGGTAAGTCCCGGGCTCTGCAGAGCCTTTCTGTGCCACAATCTCCTTGTGAACTTGAGGCCACTTTTGCTGGCTGCCAGTGCCTGGCCTCTCGTTCACCTTTATCACCTGGACATTCCAAGCCACAGAGGATTGCTGGGGCAGTGACCCAGCAGCAAAACCAGGGAGACCTGTGGGCGAGTGGACAAGTCTGAAGGCGCTAAGCAGGACTCCGGAATGGGTCCCTCTGAAGAGGTGACCTTGGCACAGGTGCTGGGGAGGCCAGTTTCCCCGCCATGTGCCCAAGGAAGACCGAGGCAGGGAGAAGAGACCAGTTTCTTTTCTCTTGTTCTCCATGACAGCTCTGGCTAACAGTGCAAACTAAAAACAAACCTCTCTCAGATTCACCTTCGCCCCCACAGTGCCTCTGGGCCAGAACTGAATGAGAAACTCAGGGTAACACAGAGGCTGACTCTCTTCTTGATTTCTTTTTTAAAAAATGTATTCCCCATACTTCCTCGTTTTTATTGTTGTAAGTTCCGGTGATGGGGTGGTGTGTGTGTGTGTGTGTGTGTGTGTGTGTGTGTGTCTGCACATTTGTGTGCTTGCGTGCCATGTGTACATGTGTATGCATGTGTGTACGCGTGTGCTCACTCTTGGTTGTGGCTTCAGGTATTCAGTGATGGTGCTTGAGGGTTATGCTCAGTGCTGGTGGGCGGTGCTAAGAATTGAATGCATAGCTCATGTTTGTCAGGCAGGTGCTTTGCCACTGGGTGACTCCCAGGACCCATCTTGCTTTTCTAAGTGCTGGGGCCCAGAGAACCTTTATGAACAGGGAGACCTTTTCTGGGAATGCAAATCACCCCTTATTGGTTGCATCAGAACACCATAGAACATGCTGCTTTTTGTCCTGGGAGAGTCTACAGGAAGGTTAAGGTTGGTTTAGGCTGACATTTTTTTTGGTGATGCTGGGCATTGAACCCGGTGCCCGACACAATCAGGGCAAATGGTCTCCCAAAGAGTCACGAGAAGGTACAGTCTAAGAAGAGAGAATGGAGTCAAGACAGTCTTCACCAGGAAGGCCCGCGCAAAAGAGGTTTCACCAAAGACAGTCTGACCTGTCTCTTTCCCCGTGTAAAAAAGTTTTGTTTGGGAGCTAAAGCAGTAGTACAGTGGGGAGGGCACTTGCCTTGATGTAACCAACCCAGGTTCAATACCCAGCATCGCATGTAGTTCCACAAGCACCGCCAGGAGAGATTCCTGAGTACAGAGCCTGGAGTAATCCCTGAGTAGAGGATGTGACCCCCCCCAAATTTTTGTGGGGGCAGGGCCACACCCAACAGTGCTCAGGGCTTACTCCTGGCTCTGTATTCAAGGATCACTCTTGTCAGGGCTTGGGGAACCGTATGAGATTTCGGAAATCAAACCCAGGTCGGCAAGCACCCTGCCCACTGTACTCTCACTCTGGCCCCTGTTTTTATTTTGTTTAACCAAGTAGAAATATATAGAGAATGGACTAGTCCCCTCCCCTCTCAAATGCCCAGGGCAAAACAAATGTGAAAATAGTAAGAGACACATTAGAACTGTCAGAAGTTTACATATCCCACTAAGTCATGTGAATTGCAAAGTGGAAGTTGATTGTATGCAGCATGAAAATGATCAATTTTATCATCAAAATTAAAAACCAAGACTTAGCTTCTCCTTATTTTATTCACACAATGCCTATGTCATAGCAGTTCTGAGTTTTAGGATAAAATGTGATGGTTCAAGAACTTTGAGGAATTTATACTCTTGGATATAAAAAGATGAATGCTTAAGACAAATAGATGCTATTTTGTTTTGTTTTGTTTTGTAGTCATACCCTGCTCAGGGCTTACTCCTGGCTCTGTGCTCAGGAATCCCTCCTGTGCTCAGTGGGGCTCAAGTTGGACCTTATAGGGTGCCTAGGATCAAGTCTGGGTTTGCTGTGTGCAAGGCAAGCACCCTTCTCACTGTGCTATCTCTGGGCCCTGACAAGTAGATTTTTTTTTTTTTAAAAATCAGGGCTTACCTCTGGCTTAAAAAAAAAAAATTTGTCTTAACTTTTCATCACATGATGAATCCTCATTTAAGAAAACTTTTGAGGAACCAGAGATATAGTATAGTGGGTAAGGCATTTGCCTTGCATGCAGCCAACCCGGGTTTGATCTTCGGCATCCCATGTGGTCCCCAGAGCACTGCCAGGAATAATTCCTGAGTGCAAAGCCAGGAGTAATCCCTGAGCATTGCCAGTTGGCCCACCCACCCCACTGCCAAAAATGGGCTTTAAAATAAAACTGAAAATGAACCTAAAGAGAGATAGAGAGATAGCTTAGCAGGAAGAGCACTTGCCTTGCACCCAGCTGGTTTTCATCCCTGGCACCCCATATTGTTCCCTGAGCTACGGTAGATATGATTCCTGAATGCAAAGTCAAGAGTAAGTTCTGAGCACAGCCGGCTGTTCCCCCCACACACACCAAAAATAATAAATAGAATAAAATGAACACTGGACCCAGAAGAGTCTGGATGGCTTAAAAGCGCCCAGGGCAAGTGTGAGACTGTGAGCTCATCCAAGCACGTGGCAGTCCTGGCAGCCTCATGGTCTGGGGATCCCCAGCAAGGAAAGAAAAAAAAATAAAATGAATTCACTGTTCTCAAATAAGCCTTTAGGGGAGGTTAGTAAGTCCATGAGAATTCGTTTTCTCTTCTCTTTATTATCCTACACGTAAATGTTTTTATTTTTTTTTATTTTAAAATTCAGTACTGGGACTGGAGTGAACTTGCCAACGGGGAGGGCACTTGCCTGCATTGGCCAACCCGGGTTTGTTTTCAGCATCCCCAAGTCCCAGGAGGTGTGAGCCCTGAGCACAAAGCCAGAGGTAAACCCTGAGCATTGCTCAGTATGACCCCAACAACAACAAAAATCCCTCAGTATTTGGCCAGAGAGGTAGTGTAGAGGTTAAGATGTTTGCCTTGCAAGCAACCAACCGTGGTTCAGTCTTTGGCATCACGTGGTTCCCTGAGCACTGCCAGTACCATCCTTCATCCACTGCTGGGCGTGACCCTAAACTCCTCCCCAATAAAAAGAAATAAAAATCAAAACTCAGGGCTTGAAGGTATAGCATGGAGGGTAATGTGCTTGCTCTGTGTGCAGCAAACCCTGGTTTGAATCCCTCTGCCACTCCGAGCCCCGCCAGGAAAGATCCCTGAACATAGAGCCAGGATTAAGACCAGAGCACCTCCAGGTGTGACCCTCCAACCCCCCCGCCCCCCCCCAGTATAGACAGTAAAATTCTAATAAAACTTTCTTTATCATAAATTAATCTGCTTATACCAAGAGCCAGGGAGATAACTCAGAGGGCTGGAATGCTCTGCATGAGTGAGTGGGGCCCTGAGTATTGGCTCTGAGTGACCCACCCCCTTCCCAGCTCCACTGGGTGTGGCCCTGCTGGCCCCTGAGTTCTGCTGGGCCCAAGTAGCCTCTGGTCACTGTGCCCAAGCACTGAAATGGCAGGGTGTTGTCCTGCATGGCCCAGCTGAGTATCCCCATGAGTGACACCCCCGCCCTTGAGAAGTGATTGAAAGGCTCCTCCTGAAAAGTTTGTTTTTGGTTTGGGGGCCACACCCAGCAGTGCGCTCAGGGCTTAGAACTGGTTCTGTGCTAGTGCTAGGTGACCTTATGGTGCTGCTGGGGGTTGAAACCGGGTCAGCAGTGACCAAGGCAAGAGCCCTACTGCCCTGTATTATCTCTTTAGCTTCTCTCCCAGTGCTAATTTTTTTATTACTGTTGCAACTCCCCTTTCTTATGTAGCAATATATCTTTTACACTTATTTTTTTTCCTGGCAATACTTAGAAATCTACTGGATTATTTTTAAACCTAGAGTTCTTTCTCATTATTAAACAGTTCCATGTTATTCTAGAATATAGAAGTACCATAATTTATTTAGTCACTTTCCTACTAATGGACATTTGGGTAGGGTTCCAATTTTTCTGATTTATGATGCTGCTAAAATGAACGCCCCTGGACATATATTTCTGTAAAAGAAATTCCTGGAAGTGGAATATCTGAGCCACAGGATCAGCGTGTTTTAAAATTTTATATATACTGTCAAATGTTCTTCCCCAGTTACCCAGCGGTGTGGTGCCCTCAACCTGGAGGAGGGCCCCCTTCCTCCCCACTCCCAGTCCCTGCCATTCAGCACTTAAACATTAGCTGACCACAGCCAGTGGAAAAAAACGTTCTATGATTTTCTTTTTGCCATAGTGCTCGGGGGCCTTCAGTGCTTGTGATACTTGAAGGCTCAGCAGTGCAGACTTCGAGGTCCCGTGCTTGGGCCTCATGGTACTGGGGGCCACCAGGGCCCTCTGCAGTGCTGGGTGGGGAAGTACGCAGAGGTAAGTCATGCCCACATGGACACCAGCCCACAGAGCTGTCTCCTGCACCATTTTTTTTTTGTTTGGTTTGGTTTAATTCCTTCAATTATTAGTGAGATGCAACATGTTTTTACCCCTCAGAGGTCAGTTGTATTTATTCTGTGAATCGCTCCTTTGTGTCATTTGTCTATTTTCCTGAAGAGTCATCTTTTTTCAGTGCTTTGTAAGAGCCCTTTCATAAACAAAGCAATTAGCTCTCTAAGCGAGTGAGTGAGGCTTCTTACCCTGAGTTGTCCAGGCCTCTCAGTGGTCCCTGGACAAACTACAGGACTCTGCAACCCTCAGGGGTAGAAGCAGCCAATGGGGTGCACCCTGCACTGCGGGTTCTGAGGAGGTGCTAGGGTCACGGCTTCCATCACCCACTGGTAGGTTTGTGGGGTGCCCAAAGGCCCGCGCCAAGAATGTTCTGTTAGCTTCTCGCTCTTCCGGGAGGAAAGAGGCCAGACCCGGGCTAGGTGAGGACCAGGCAGAAAAGCAGCCCTCGCTCATGTGCTAGCCCAGCAGGAACCCCATTAAAGGGGCTTGATGGCGTGCCCTAAGGCCCCCCCTGGTCAAGAGCAGGGTCAACAAA